CCTTTCCCCGACCTTTAACCCCGAAAAGTTCTTCCTATACTTTACCATTGCAAAATTTTCGGGGCTAATTTTAAAGTGCTTTTGCGAGTTGGCGCCTGTAAAGTGGGGTATGTGTTTCAAACCATCATTATGATTCATCGCAGACAACAATCTGTTTTTTAAAAGTACCGGTAAAGAATGTTAACCTAGTCTATCACAGCTATCACTACACTATTTTTTATTACTGCAATAAAATTAAAACTTTTAGTAAGACAGAGTGATCATTGCATTATCTGATTTATATTTAAATTTCCGAAACACAACTGAAAACTAACGAATAGCGTTCAAAAACTCGAAAACAAGGTAATGTTTACGTCGTTACGACCATGCTTGAAAACCTCTCTGAGTGAGAAAAGTGTCTAAGCGGAAAGGAAAGGGAGCATGGTTACGTCACTTTTTGCATCTTGCTTATTGACCAATGTCACGAAGTAAACAAAGAAGTCAATGCTCGGGGAAAGGTCCATTACCTTTGTCGGCTACATACTTTTATCCCGAAGGCACGCCTGAAAATTTCCACCTGCATCGCTTTCATATTATTTCTGAACTGCTAGCTGCAGAACTATCTATCACATATATTATAATACCAGACATCATATTTTCTGGTAGCATTTTCCACGAGACCTTTGCTATATAGTTTGGGTGGCGTAGGTACTATGTACCAACATATGATTACGCCCATTAAACAATCGGCTTTCTTCCCCTCCGGAATTAACATGAAAAATACAAAGTGGTAAGTAACAGGGGGAGAGGGAGTGTGTTACCAAATGATTTAGCCGCCAAATACCTGTCAAATGTGTGCTATCAGCAGCTGCGTGGCTATAAAACAATTCTTGCAATGCGTGACCGTAGCAAGCTGCGACAAACCGTTCCCCTGTTTCTGGGACCGGATCATGCTATTAGAGGCCTTAAGCACTTACGATTTCAGAGTCCTACATATATATATATATAATAATAATGAAGCTGGTTATCATGACATAGGTTCTCAAATTGCTCCGTACGGAGCCCCAGGGCTCCGCGAGAGAACCTCAGGGGCTCCGCAAGCTATTCGATTACTCTTCAAAATACTGACTAATTTTGTAACTGTTCAAAGAAGCAATAACAGCTTTGATAAAATCCGACAACAATTGAAATATGACAAAGAGGCGGAATTAAAAAATGACATTATTTATAAGCAAGAGCGCAGCCAAGATTCTTAAGAGGGAGGTGGTTCAAAATTGGAATCGGAAATTTCCGCGCAACATTCTTCGCGATTAAATTTAATAAACAGATAAGATTTATGTTGCGTAAAATATTTAATTTATGACCGATGCGAGCATTTAACGTGTCTCGTCGTTATAATGTAATTGTGCTCATCGTTACTCACGTTTGATTCAAGATTACTATAGGCAATACTAAAATGAAAGAATACTATTCTAAAATAGAATAAAATATGTGATAAACTGCCAACTATAAATAAATTGGAGTCGTATTTTTGCGATCTTGGGATTTGTCAAACTTGATTTCTTCTTTCGCACTTGAGATTATTTTTAAGCAAGATATCGCGTTTAAAAAATCACAATGTCTGGGCAAAATACGAACAATTGAAATTTATTTTATTGCATTCGTCTCCGTCGGTAGTTTCAGAATAAAAAAAAGGTAACCCGCGGATCGCGCGCACTATTAATTGCGTGCGGCTCTGTCGGTAGTTTCATAATGGGAAAAAAAGGGTACATCGCGCGCACTATTGACTGTGTTTCGATTTCGCAGTTACTACGATGAAAACCTAACATAACACCAAATTTTGTGATTTACAATGTCTATAAAAGCGTTTTCAATCTGAGGTGAGTCTGCTGAAACCAAACATGTGATCTTCCATTTTAAGTTTCAGTTTTTAGAATGTCACTTTTCAATCAAGAAATTTGAGTTGCGGATTTACCTCTTTATTAATTATTATTTTTAGCAGTTCGTCGCCGATGACTATAATTATTGTATCATGTTTTTCACATTGAACTCATAATTCCCCACGAGAACAAAAAAGCAAACGAAAATATCGCTCAGAGACCGAAGACTTATCGATCGAAAGTTAGGGGATCCCACAAAACAGAGCTCTTACTCCATAGTGACACCTTGTGCCCCATCACTAATTAATTAATAACTCAATCAATAGGCTTCTGGTACGACATATGATGAATGCACATGCAAAATCTGGAACATATTCAATCTTGCTTTCGTGAGATATCGCGTGCATCTAACAGACAAATACTTATCAACATACTTACCGATTCAAATCGATAAGTAACAAACAGACAGACAAATACCTATCAACATACTTACCGATTAAAATCGATAAGTAATAACGTCGTCATTGTGTAACAATACATGTATATGACGAGGGAAATTTTTGATTTAGGAGAATGAACACCGGCGTAAAGATGTTTAAAGGTTCAAAAACACGCCATGCTGACGAAATTGTAACAAAATGCAATCGCGCACGTTATTAGCGGCCTTTTAAGTCTTCCAAAAATGTCAAAGAGGGAAAAGAGTCGACCCCTAATTTATTAATATGTTTGTCAAGTGTCAAATTAACAGCTTTAGTATATATAATTTATGTGTGAAATTTAGATTTATGTATGACTTGTATTAAATCTATTAAAAGAGGTTCAGCATTTAAATTAAGTAAAGTACTTTTAACTTGCTCAGGAATATTAATCTGAAAGCAACGACTAACATGCCGTCTGAAAGTAACAATTTTAACATTTATTTTAGGGCTCCGTGAATAATAGTCAACCTTTTGAGGGCTCCGCAACACCAAAAGTTTGAGACCCCCTGATCTATGACATGTTATCTGAAATTGAACAAGCGAGCTATGCTCAAATATGTGGACACGTAGCGCCACATAATTTAGATTAGATCAGGGGTCACCAAACTTTTTTGACCGCGGGCCGGGTATGACTCAAATTGTGTTGAAACGGGCCGGATGAATATTTTTGTCAATGCAATACAATAAATTCACAAATGTTGGGAATATCGCAGAATATAGAACGAGAACATCCTAGGAAAAAAATTAACAAGATTTCTATATCTAGACAATTATCCTGAGTTTAGCTGTTATCAAAACGTTGCTGTCATGAATTAGAAATGTTACAAAATCCTCGGCAAAAAATGTACGCATCACGTCTGCTCGTAAATATGTACTACTACGGTCTGCTAAGTACCGTTACGCCGAGTTGAAATACCTCTCATAAAAACGACTATCTGCTGTAGCTTGGAATTCTATGAAATTTTGACATAATTTAGATAAAATAAACAACTATTATCTGGTATTTGATTTTTTTCATTAGCCCATAAATTTCCCAACATTCGACGCTTATAAAAATTACGCTCCAGTTATACGTAGTGCAAATTAATGATATTGTCTATGGACACCAATAAAATGTATGTGGACGTGTGTATTTCTTTCCTAACTTGATACAGTTTTTATGAAGTTCGTACAATCAGAACACCGTTAATTATTACCCACAATGAACCACTGTCAAACTATCATGCACAACTCCAGCGTTTATTTGCGACGATCTTTCGGCGGTGTCAATGACCGTTGCCAGAATAAAAGTCTGAAATAGTCTCAATATACCATAGATGTGACGCACATCGAAAGATTAGTGATTGATATGTGTTATTTTTCCATATTTAGTTCAGTTCTTATCAAAAAAGTAATACAATCATTATGGAAAAAATTAGCCTGTCGGGCGGTACTAAAATTCCGATATCTCCGCTATTTCTTGACCGTTTATTATGAACATGGTATTGTTTTCTATTTTTACTCAGATCTTTCCACTGGAGCAGTTTTTATTTAAATCGGATGGACTTCAATTTTTTTGTAACATACCTACATGAATATCCGCATTAAAGCAGTACAAAAGTTAGTGTGGCTTTTGAAATTGGAGCAGTACGCGAGGGATTACAGTACTGCACAAAATGCACATTCGACGTTTATTTTAGCACAAAAAACAAACAGTTTCGTCGAAAGCACGCGCCACGAGTGTACAAGTGTTTCGCAGAAAACGTTACGTACTGGTAGCATTCAAAGTCGCAAAAACGAAGTTTTGTTTACAACCACGACTGAAAATCTGTCAGGGTGACAAAAGTGTCTGAGCGGACGCGGAAAGGCCTATTATTACGTCACGTTTTTGCATCTTGCCGATTGGCCAATGTTACGAAATAAACAAAGACGACGATGCTCGTGAAAATCTCCCCTGGAAAAGAATTTAGCCATTTTTGTGTGTTATTGCGGACCGGATAAAATGACATCGCGGGCCGGATCCGGCCCGCGGGCCGTAGTTTGGTGACCCCTGGATTAGATCATAGCAAAAAATAAAAGTAATAGCCTTCTGGAAAATAATTCCATCTTTAAACCACTGAAAATTTCAAAGCAATCGGTCCAGTATTCAAAGAGAAAAGCGATTTCTTCAAAACGTGTCAATGAACAAGAACAACACAAGAGAGCAATTCTCAAATGCATGGACACGCAGACAATTCTCCAAAAATCATATGGGTGACTTATCAGTATCTGTATTGGGGTACCGTGACGGTACAAGGACTGTCATGGATATTTTAGGTCCTGTGACAATGATTCATTCTTCTTGATTATATTGAAACATCAATTGAAATATCTAGTGCTATAAGTCAATTATGTAATGTATCAGGTACCACAGCCAAACATTTCACATAAAAACGTTACTAAATAACATGCGTCAACTTAACACCACCTGAATTAGGGTACAACTTTCAGTACAGTGACTGTCATAGCTGTTTAGGGCTGATGGACAACCGGACTACACGGACCAGATAAAATATGTTATCGCAAGCACTACAGATGATATGCAGCAAATTGTGCGTATGATGTATCTTTATATTCATTCTGAAACTGCGTAGAGGGCACACGCCATCTTTTTCTGATGAAATGTAAGGTAATCAATGATAGGTATGGTCAATCAGTTTTCTATTCCACTAAAATAAATGCATATCCTTGGGATTCTATTACATATCTTGAAAACAACCGATCGACTGCAATGGAAAGGAATCAATAACAGATCAAATTTGACGATTTACCACGATCGTATATAAATCATAATCAAAACAAGATAAAATTGAAAACCTTACCACGCATGTTTGTATCAGCAGAATAGCAGGTTGTTATCGCTAGGGCCATGTCACACCTTTTGTGGGCCCTTAGCACTTATGATTTTGGTCTCTAATATATAAAAAATATTAATTACGAAAGTTGCGTTCTATGTTATCTGAATGAAGTAACTATCTGTTTTTATTACTAATTGCGGACTTTCATTACAAAAAGTGATAGAGAGATTCAAGATGATATTTGAGAATTTTTCAATCAGAACCTCACCCAAGCTGGTAGTAGTGTCCATACCAAACTGGAAACCTTACAGTATGGAAACTGTGAACCCTTCTACTCTAATACAAGTTTCGTGATGCATGAAGGTGTAATATAAAAAGCTTGTAACTTATTAATGAATTTGAGCATTGTGAAGAATTCAGATTCTTATTTTCACACATTGACATCCACTTAGTAATCATTTTCCAATTTCTGCTCTAATATCATTCCCTCCCGACTCAAGATGATCCATATCATTTTGTGCTACATTGACCAAATCAGTCCCTCCAACGATGACCACATTCAATCTTACAACATTTATAAAAAGTTGTCATTGGCTCATCTGCTGATCGAGTTTGAATTTGCATGAAGAATGCCCTTTTGTGTTCACATTTTGGACAAGTCTCTTCTGTTGAATCAACATTCTCCCATGCAGCAGATCCACCTGGAAAACCAAAGAGATGTGAATGACTGAATTTAAAATAAAAAATATACAATGAGATTTGCAACATCGAAAACCGAATGAAAAGCTGCAAAATAAAGGGGATTCAAAAGTATTATTTGTGAGTACACAGGATGGGAATTTCATATGGGTATGGGATTGGCTAGCTAAGTTACCAGATGTTTCAGATGCATGGCCATGATGGTGCAAGGAGGCCATGACTGACCAGTGGTTACATGAACCACCCACGGGCAGCGTGGCGTCTAGAAGACCTATCTCATGTAAATACTTTCCCCGCTTATGTTGGATTGGAATAACTTTGGGACTAACATCATAAAATGGATCTGATTAATCTTTCAAACTCTAATAATCAGAATCACTAAGTACATGAATGGTAATAAAACCCATCTCAAAAATATTAATACTTTAAAAAAGACACTTGGAAATTTTAGAGACAAATCTGACAAAAGACATATTAAAACAGACACCATGAGAACTAGTGTGATCTCATAAAAAATTTTGTGAGATTACGTTTGGTCTACAGATATAGACATTCATACCTATCTACATAATGAGGTTATTAGTGAAGATGAAATACATAAATATTCACTATTGAATGATTCCAATCTCTGGAAAAAATGCATTACAAATATGTTCAAACAAAGCAATCACGGCCACTGTATTAATAGATACCCAACACATTTCAGATCACTATATCAAATATGGTTAATTGATTAGCTGTTTACAAAACTGGCTTATTCACTAAGGATTGATATGAAGTTTCTTACCCTATTACGCATACACTCTAGGACTTTTAGTGAACTTCAAAATATTCATAATAAATTTTTACATTAGTAGTTGGTACACTTACCTAACACATCATCCACCTCCTTTAATTTTGGATATTTCCTTGCGCTTATTCTTCTATTAATATTATGAATGAATGGGCAAGTTGGGCAAGCAAACCTGAAACCAAAAAAATATTGTGAAAATGCAAACAGCACGAGAGGGCTGGTTCACTGAACACCGCCAAGTATATCCAGTTGGCATGGCATAACCATTTTCGCATATGTCATTTCTAACCCCCACCTGACTACGTCATCCAAAAATTACGTCATTCCTTTTTATCCAAATTATTATATTTCATACTGGCAAATATCATATCAAAATGTTTTCTGTAAAGCGAATTATGTTCGGTTTTAGCCATCCCTGGTATTAGATCAGATTCAAAACACAATACTGCCAATAACTTGGTATGATGTGAACTCAACTTAATAACAACATTTCAAAACATCACATTTTTGCTTCAAGTCTCAAATTATATCCAAAATTGTGACATTCCAGTACAGAATATGAATAATTCAATTGAAAGGTCAGTAAACCAATAGAAGCAAAAAAATTCTATTTCAGTATTTTTAATCGACAAGCTATAATTCCAGCATCCAAAAGTTACTGAGTTACCTATCAGTAGTTGTAATACAGTAATAGGAATAAATGCAAAAATGTGGATTTCAAAATATAATTAGAAATCTATTGATAAAGTGCAGTACCTGTAACATCTAGTCCCCTCCTCGACTGTTAACAAATTCCCGCAAGTAGGGCAGAACAACAACATTGCCAAATGATGAGAACCCTAATAGCAAAGTTGAATCAGATAGGCTAGTTAGATCAGAACATGCCTATTGTAAATATGTTTTACAAGGTTAAAGCAAATGCTGAAATTGAAATGTCTGTACAGTGAATGAGGTAGTACAGTAGTGGGAAATCAACAAAATAAAAATTAAAGCATATGTTTCACAGCTTCAGTACAGCCCAACGACTAACATACCGTACAGCCGGTATGCTACAGCATTATGATGATTATGTGACAATTTTTTTGTGGCAGCGGAAAATCATTCTGAGGTTTGACAATCGGTTCCCACGCGGAATATTCCTATTTTCAATAATACTGTATTTCTTTTGAGAAAATGGATCCCACCTAAAATTGAATTTTTCAAAAAAAAAATATTAGACTTATACATCATATAAAGTGCGTGAGTGAAAAGACCAAACACACTTTACGTCGTTGCGTAAATGCTAGATGTTCGATCCCCGTCGCGAGTGGCGATGATAAGAACGACCTTAAACTTTCCAGTGCGGCACTTTCAAGTTGTTTTTATACTAAAATGTCTCGTGGTATTTTCTCTTATCTAACTTTAGATCCAAATATTCCCCGATCATAGCCGATATTGTTTTGATAGCGCTTGTACGCTTAAGAGCTAATGTGAAATTGTTTTGTTTACATCACTTCTCTATTTGCGCGTAGGATGGGTTTTTAATGAATAAAGTCTATCCATGGTTAACTGAGTGGTCTGTATTAGAGATGTACCGATACCACTTTTGTCGCCGATACCGATACCGATCCGATACCAGCCAAAAACGCCGATACCGATACCGATACGCCGATACTACAAAAATGCCGATATTACCGATATTCCGATACCGATACTATGTAATTATTACTTAATTAGGTGTGCTGTGTAGGGCAGACGGGTTAAAACAATGGTCTTTGAGCGTTGTTCATAGTACACATTATTTCAGATCGAAAAAAAAGATATATCACATAATATGAAATTAATGTTTGGTGTTTGCTTCAACTGATTAAGATACATTATACAGTAACGCTAGTCATCTCGGTGTTCAATTAGAAAACTCATTATGCCCGGATGTCCCATTTAAACTTAATATGAATATCGCGACCTTCGAATATCGTTATTCGTGTTTAAAAGAATATCGAATATCACCCACACATTCTAGCGCCGCCGTCCTACGTTCAGATTAAAAGCATTTTACAAATATTTTATTTCGTGGCTAATCGTAATCGTCGACGCAATAAGTCAAAGCCAAAATGAAAGAATATCAATCAGCACCGACAAAAAGAAGGCCTACCTATAACCGTCGAGGATGTTTTTTTACTTTACTATTTTATAATATAAAATATTTTACAATTGCTATCATATATTTTGAATTTCGGAATTTAGTTTATCGATGTCGACGGACTAAATGACACTCGTACTTGACGACAAAAAGTCAGAACTTATACCCGTGCCAAAAGTCCATGTGCCGTTGATAAGGACCCCAATTCCACTGTATGATTTGAAACTGGGCGCCTAGTTGCTTTTTGTTATGTGCTGTGTTGATATATTTCTTCATAATTACTATGTAATATTAAAAATGTCAATATTAAAATTTGACAGCGAAAATAGCCAAATTAGTTGAGCTAGTTTGGCTGATGAATAGCTAAAAACACGTGAATCCTATTCTCTCGCGGGGGTGGGGACATGTATAGCTCATAGCTCACGATCTCTCCAGACAAAAAATAAATTAAAAAGTAGTATTCCAACTTATCTTTTAAAATATTCTGGACCATATCAAAAAGATAAATATATCGGAAATATCGGCCTTGATTTAACCGATACCGATACATGGCCGATACCGAAAAAATGACCGATATTGCCGATACCGATACCCGATACCGATACATCGGTACATCTCTAGTCTGTATAGGTAACTTTAAATTAAATTACTTTCGTTAGGGTTCATTAACCGGAACTCACTTGCAACAATGATTGTTGTTATTTTTCGCTGGTTATATATATTTTTTTATATTTAAGCAGTATTTCTTGACTTCTCACAATTTTTCTATTTTAAACTATGTTGCCGTTCCAAATGGAGAAATTTGAAATCATCAAATCGAACGAAAATGTTTTTCGTTAATTGTGATTTTTAATAAATTTAAATAAATTTTCAGTAGTTGACGCCATGAATTTAAGATCCACAGAAAACTTTTGATGTATATATTTTAGTCGTTGCTATTTTCAAATCTACGCCAACTCGTCGGCGCCCGAATGCCTGGCGTCAAATCTGTATCGGCGACGCAACATGACGTCGTCTTCGAAGTGAGCGACGCCAGGGTGACATCAAGTTCAACGTGTGCGTCAGATGTTATTATTTTAACAAAAAAAAATATTTGGATTTTAATTTTTTCTCGCGTCTCCTGCGACATATCGGGATCAGTCTAATATTCTACGGTAGAAGTCCCTATTTAAGCCGCTCGAAATCAGAGTGTCAATTTTTTGCTAGAACGTGATTTTTTTTAATCAAAGAATAAATTAAGCTGCGTGATGGAATATGATAACAGATTAAGATATATAAAGACTCGCCATAGAAACTACCAGAGGCACATTAGGACGCAATTCAGCCGAGATATAAACGATTGATAATTCCATCCGAGGTTACCCGGTTTTACGGTACGTGAACCACCACACGGCGGCGAGAAGCCCAGCAATCCTCTCGCACATAACTATCCCTTCATCCTCACGGGATTCGAACCCACGCAGAGTAATCAGAGGTGCGGTCACAAATTTCAATTGTTACGTCCTCGTTGACTTTTTGCTGATTGGTCATTGTTACGGAAATCGATGCCCTCGGCCTCGTCCAGTTTAGAGATGTATCGGTATCGGCTAAATGTAGACCGATATTTTCGATATATTCAGCTTTTTAATCCGATCCAGAATGTCTTAAAATTAGTTGTAATACGGATGTTGAAATTATTTTTTTTTTGCGTGAAGGGATCATGTCCGCGGTAATTCGTTAACTCCGGCCATGCTCGTTCACACCCACACAAGTAGAAAAGGGAATAGGAATTCGACCTGTTTTAGCAATTTATCAACCAAACTAGCTCAACTAATTTGGCTATTTTCGCTGCCAATGTTTTACAATGACATTTTCAATATACATGCAAATTAAGTAGAAATATATCAATCAATATTAGTGGATTTTTCAATGTGTAAAATGCGAAATACGATGTTATATTGGCACAGAATCCCACGCACGCAACTCGATGTATCAGTTTTATAGAATGAGTAAACATTTATTCATGCTACCATCAATAGTAGCCAAACCTACCAGTTTTCTAATTGAACACCGAGATTACTCGCGTCAGTGCACAATGCATCCGAATACCTATTTTTCGAACTGAAATATTGTGCATTGTGAATAATGCTCACACACCATCGTTTTAACCAGTCTGCCATAACTACCTGGTTCCCGTATCAGACTATTGGCTTTTTGAAATATCGGTATCGGTGCACCTCTAGTCCAGTTACCAATCCATGTCGGTTAGGGTTAGGTGAACCACCCACCCCACGGCATACCCTCCCACATAATTATCCCCACAGGATTCGAACTTGCGAACCCATGCAGGGAAATCAGAGGTGCTGTGGCGAGTGTATTCCTAACGCTCAGCAGAATACGCCACACCAGTTTGCTGATAACGGGTGAAAAAGAGTTCCATTCACCTTGAATATCTCAGAACAACAAAATGAAAATAGACAACGTTCGTATTTGTACCATGTTGCAAAACTTTTGTACTATTTTAAAATGTGTATCGATGATGATAAAATTGGCAATGTTACATAGATAAAAATTACAGAATTCTGATTTTTTAACATGGCATAAAAAAATAATTTTGAAATGGCTATTTCGACAAAAGATATAGACACCATCAAAATTGGACATAACTGGTAAAAGACCACAGATGATGGATATAACCAATCATAATTTTTTTACCATAACAAGTTTGGATAACAATATACCGATACCTTATGACCACTTCTGAAATAGGGCAATCTCACAGAGTGAACACTACATTGGGTAACATCCCCCAGCAAATTTGAATACATTTTCAATACAGTCATGTCAAATTTGATGGTTGTAAGATTCCTTTTGTTGAAATAACACAAGGAGATACATTGATTTATATCATAATTAGTATATTTAGTTGATATATATTACAGAAATAAGCTAAGCAATTCATGAAAATTCATTAGAATAGGCAGAAGTAAAAATATGATATATTGAAAAAGGAGCAATGAAATACCACACGTCATGACAAAAATTTCGTTTGATTTATGATATATATTTTTTTGATACTAAAATAATTTTTTCTCTTATTTTTGGAATAAAACTGAATAGACGATAGTAGATATAGTTTTATTGAGTTTCAATTAACCCATAATGCCACATATTCAACAAATATTGATTATATAAATAAACTTTCGTAGTTTGTGATACAATATGGAAAACAGTTTTTAATCAATTCAATACTGTCCAACCAAAAAAAATTTGAGAAATATAAAATGTTTAGGTAATCAAGAGCGTATAATGTATACGAAATATTTCATAGATAGGACAGAACACTTTGCTGTTCTGTTTATCAGAATCGGACAAAATTTATTCTCTGTATTTTGCCTAACAGTAACAATTCAAATCCAGTAACCAAACTAATACTAAAAATTTTACACCAAAAAAAAAATTATAAAAACAGTCCAAAATTGATGAAAATGCACATACAGCCGAAGACTTTCAGACTTGACTGGAAAAATCTTCTAATGAGCTTGATGGCCTTTATGTGTTTGAATTATAAAGTATGTTTATATCATGTCATGCCTTGACCATAAAATATAATGTATCAATGTTTACAAAAAAAAAGAATATGATCATTTTGCAAACAAATGTCCTAGGTCATGTTCTCATTTAATAACCGAATACACGCTAAAAACTAGACTAAAATCTGAACTGAATGCATTTATTCTTATACCTTTCGGTTGTTTTTTGAGATAAATGGAAGGGGACTTGTCTTAGTCATAAACATACCAAACAAAATACAAATGTGGAATGGTATCTAGGACAATGCAAGCGTCCAAAAAAGACTAATCCTGTTCACAAAATTGAAAATTATAAGTCGAACCTAAACACTTTTTTGTTTATTCAATTGAACACTTGTTATTCCAAAAATCTAAAATGTACTAGTGCATTAGGTGCGAGTGGTGGACTATAATTGAATGGTGCACAATTCTTAACATGGTAAGAAAGCCAAGTTGTTTGTATATCACTCTTTCATTGATTACATCAATTTCCCAACCAATCGGAATGCAATTGCGCAATTTTGGTCGTTAAATGGAACAGATGAAAGAAAGCGATGTAATATTACTACAAATAGAAAAAGCCAAAAATGCTAAAAAATGACTTAATTGATAGAAAAAAAAAGTATTATATTATTATCAGTACTAGACTTAATAATAATATTAGCAAAATAAAAAAGCATACATGATTTGTTAGCATATCGAAATCAGTAAAATTTTAAGTATCAGTAATATGCAAAGTAAAAATTGAAACAAAAAAAAAATTCAAACTTTTTATTGTAAACATTATCAGTAACATCTTCATATCATGCTTGTACCATACCAAAAATAGTGTATTATCAGTTAGATAGATCTCAGCTGTAACATAGAATGCTCTCATACGGTTTCGATTTTAAAAAATTTCATGACAGAAAAATGCAAATTTGATAATATGAACTACTTACTACTCTGCTTAATATCAACAATATGCCTTGAGTGTGCATGATAATTAGATAAAATAACAAATACACATATTTTTCAATGACTCGTAGATAAAAATAATGTTGAGTATTGTAAAAGTTCTGTAACTTTGGTTTCAAATGCAATAGTGTTACTCTTCATATATAAAAACAAAGCACCTAATTTTTTCGTACCATAGTCACGCAAATAATTTTCTAAAAATTCATCATACCGATAAAAATTTAACTTTATTGTGCATTATATATCTATTCATGCATGATCGAGCATGAGTCAATAAAGTAAAATGGCACATTAACACGGACCGTCTATGACCCACACTTGAAAAAAACAGCTCGACATTACCTAGTAATATATATACAACATGGTAGTAAAAAAATTTCAACATTTTCTGCAGATTTGGCATGATATTTCAAAAAATTGATAATTTTCTGAATTTTTTTATTCAGAATATAGTCGCCATGATGTCTGATGTTGCAATATACGTTTGCTTGCAGCCTTATCTTGTGCAGTTTTATTGCGAGTTCTTGCTGCTTTTTGCATGGGGGCTGAAGGTCCAAATTGTCGTCGTTTGAAAAATCCACACTATGAAAAAATTTATAAACTTTAAAAACAATTACTTTACGCTGAAACAGAAGCGATTTGTTGACGAACGATCCATGCAACAACTCACAATAACTATCAAATACATGCATGTAAATTCTAAATGCACATTCATTGCTAACAAAAATCCTATTCGTTCGGCAAATATAATGCAGAGTAAAATATTTCAGCCAAATTTTAGAATTACATATTAAAAATTTCGTATTTTTTACTGAAAAAATTTTGAAATATTAGAAGGCTTTAAATTTTCTTTTCTTTATCAAATTTCCTCCGAATTTTATAGGACCCGATATCCCACCCAAAATTATGCTGTTTTATTTGAGTTGAGGGAACTCTTTTTTATTAGTCATGTTTAACGACCTACATCAGGGGTGTGCATCCTGCGGCCCACGGAAATGTGCCAATTTTGAATGGGGTGCCCTTGAAACAAGTTTAATTTAGTTTCATCTAGTGTGTGCGAATAATTCCAATGACTTTGCGCTGCAGGAGCTTATGCAAAGCAAACAATGCATGTCATAAGATCAAAAACCAAAATTTTTGGGCCTGCAACTACCGGCATACCTATGTTAAGGTGCGGCCTGCAGTTTCAACCAGTTATTTGTATCTGGCCCCTCCTGTATTAAAGGTTGCACACCCCTGACCGACATCATGCTTGACAAGCGATCGTTCCGGCAAACTCTGTGCTCTAAGACCAAATTGCACTGGGCCGCTTATTTTATCAAGTACTGGTAACGATAATCGAATGGCTTTCTGAAGCACAACAGTAATGGATGAAAAAGTGAATCATGCTAATCTTTAAATGCAAATAAAGAAAAATGGAAGGAAAAAATTATACTGATTCAAGATGCCAGGAATAAGATATTTAGGAACAAAATTAAAAGCTATTCATCAAACTTGTATGATATAGAAATAAATTCCTCTCTCCTATTGCCATAAACACAATTCTGTTAAATTCAACATAGAAACATTGACATAATGCCAAAAGGTTGGGTAGTACATTTTTCCTATATATATTTAATTTTTTTAATATCAATAACCGTATTGAAGTTTATTGCTTTTTATAAGGGAATGTTAGTTCATAACAAAAAATTGAAGTAAACATAAAGGTAATCCACATTTCAGAGTTATTGCATACTTTCAAATTACCATAAATATCAGTAAAGGGTTTCTCTCTCGTCAGCTTTTTTCGATGCCTGCTTGTGTCTTCTCGCTTTTTGATAATCTCCAAATTGTTTTCGTTTGAAGAATCCGCACTGCAATATTATTTCATTTGTGTTGTGTGAAAAACCAGTGGTAGTAAAACGTGGCACAGCCATATTTGTGAAGCATGTGTATATGTATGCATAATAAGTGTTTATGCGCAAGTTGCCTCAGGAATGCATACCAGACCATCTATGTCATTTTAATTCAATGTGGCATAGGGATGTCCAAAAATATTGAATATTATTGATATTTCTAAAAGGCGTCTAAAAAAGTAAGATTTAAAACCTGCTATAATTTCAGTATTTTTGCGAATAAATCATGATATATTTTCATTAAATAAATTTTGCTATCAAAATATAAATGAATGGACTAGTAGAAATCTAGAATACTGAATTTTAATTTACAATATAATTATAATAATGAATTAATCGTCATTATTAATTAAAGTAAAAGTATTGTGAAAAAAAAAACATTCATGCATTATGAATTAATCAAAGTTATTCAGTACTTTGATATTTGATAAATATAATCTTAATTGAATGACCAATTTCATAGAATCAGAATTTTTTTTTATATTGAACTGAAAAATTATCGAAAACTAACCAGATTGCAGTTGGATATAAAAAATTATAACTAAATTACAACAGGCCAGAAGGTTCTAAATTCAGATTTATTTTTATATTTGAACTTAATTAAAATATCTAGACTGAATTATAAACATAATATTAATGTTCTACTTCATCTCCGGATCAACGACGCCACGTACCAATGAATTTGAAACTGAATTAGCGAATGGCGACTCAAAGTCAATTTCTTAATGTGGCCCTTTGCAAAAAACTCTTTCTGAATGTGGCCCTTGCAAAATAAACTTTGCCCCCTCCTGACATAGACCAATTGAAAAAAAAGGTAGGCTACCTGAAGATCAAGTAGTGACTAAATGCGTTTAAATTGAATATATATATTTTTTGTGCTTTAGTCCGAATCAAGAGTGAAAAAGAAATTATGGTTAACTACTGTTTAATATAACCGTTTCTTACTGTTTTATTCTAATTTGTAACACTTATTTTAATACATTACGTTCTATTTTTCTATAAACTGGTCTGCATGTTCTTTTTATATTATTTACATTATCAACCAAGGACATAGTCAAAAAACTGTTATAATTAGATAACCCATAGAAGAGCAATACCACCAGACTGACTGTTTCCTTAAAATTCACTCTCAATAACAATCCTCCGTGAATCACAATCAGTGAAATCCCAATTTAGTAAACAAAATAATTTTTGTTATGGCGGGCTATTTTTTTTTCAATTGGGACCGCTTTTCATTGATATTTGATTTCAAATTTTGATCAAGTTCAACAGCCCTATATTAGAAAAGACTTGCCTGTCCTGTGTGAAGAGGGGCAAAAAAAGTATTTAAAAAAAATCACATTTCAGAAATGTCACCAAAGCAAACAAATACTAGTGCGGTGAAATAACAACCATACCTTCCAAAGTAGCAGCACTAGACAAACTAGTAACACCACTCCAGCTATGGAGGCTGCAACTATAATCCACCAATTGACTTCTTCCTTGACTGGTATAACAACTTCAGAATTAACTGTTGTCCAGACGACACTCTCAAGTTCTGATGATTCAGAAAATTGGACGTTTTCTTGAGCAATGGACACCATGGCTTTGGACTGGACTTCAATCTAAAGAGATATCTATTATATTACCCCGAAAATAAAAAAAACGGTAAAATATAAATACACTAATGTGGTTTCAGTTCTGAGGAAATATGTCTTTCCTTGAATACAAAATTTGAGGAAAACAAAAAACAAGATAGGACCTAAAACAGATCCTTGAGGCATACCAATGTAAGCCAGATTGGACTAGATTCCTGGCAACTATAATTTAAAAAAATGTATCAACCAAAAAGGATTTCATGCAGGGAAACAACTTAAGACAAGATTCCTGAGGCATACGAATCCAGGACCCACTCACAACGTGATATTATATACATGTAAATTTATCCATATGATTCATTTGACGTGTGACTAATTGCCAGCACAATCCAAATACATATTTTCAATTCAATTATACTTGAGAAACGAGAAATTAACGAGTCCATACCTTGGAAACTCCCTTATATTCTTCTAAGAATGTACTATTCCATAAGACAGCATGGAGATCAATATAAACTTTGGCTTTGGCACCCAGCGTACCGAGAGAACATGAGAATTCAATACATGAAGCAGTGTTGTTGCATATCTGTGATAATGTATCAATGAGTTAGAAAAATAGACGAGAAAAGTATATAAGAGTGAATGATTTGATATGACAAACTCTATGGAATATATACAACTTTCTGACCAGTTTACATTCGAAATAAACAAAAAATAGCTTGAAATATGGGACAGATGAACGCAACTTTAAAATTGGGAAAACCACTCACAAGTTTCTCCTGAGTTGACTCTGGACCTTTAGTCACTTCTTTTACCACAGGTTCTGTATTGCTTGCACCTGGATCAGCATCAGAGATTTCTGCTGACCTTTTCTGTCTCTCAGATCCTGGTACATATCGTAGGTTGAGTGGGTTTACCTCCTCAGGAAGAGTGCAATTTCCTGATCCATCCCTTACGTTGGCTTCCAGTAAATAAAAAAGCCATTTACCATTGTTGATGTTTTGTGGCCAGCTGATATGAAGTTGAACGTTATTTGCAGGAGCTGTCCCAGTATTTGTTACTTCATAGCTGTTTACAATAAAAAGAATATTCCATGGAAAATTTGGCATTGTTAAGACATCGATGTGTATTTTAAATCTTTAGTAATAAGCAACTACATTCAATGAAATTAATTAAGGTTAAATTTAGAATCAAAATCTCATAATATACTAGAAATAAATGACATATACAATAAATCAAATTAGAATACTCACAGATAAAAGATAGGACAAAAAGGATGATAAGGAATATTTACTGTACCTTTGAGGCCATATTCTACTGATAGATATTATCATTTTACTGAAGTACACAGTATAAGATAGCATCATTGGAATTTCGCATTGTATTTGCATATTAAATGGAAATATTAGTATTGTTAGATGACTAATAAATGATACGAGCATATTTAGGACGCAGAGTTTTCTACTGACACTACTCAATTCTCAGCAGTGTTCAAGTAGATATATACCTATTTCTAGACTTTAGATAAGTGCCTTGCCATATGATTGAAATGTCCTATCGTGCTGCCTCTCGCTAAGTAAATAGAGTGACCCCCAAAATTCTTAGAAAATTAAATATCAACACTTTAACGCTTCAACCTCTGTTTGTGTATAATTATACCTAAAATGAATGTTTAGCATATTATACCTATTGCCTTTTTTGCTGGATGCAGGGCATGTTAGAAAATGTGAAGTATACGCTTTTTGACGAATATTGATTATAATTAAACTTACATGTGAGAGTGAATACTGCCAGCATCTTCAGCTTCTTTTACTGCAGATTCACCGATAACAGTTCCTCCGAATTTAACTTGTTCTCTACTTGCATATCCTTCAATATCAAGTTGAGCTTCCACATGAACGATTACTGGATAATCTCTTATGATATCATGGCCTGGTTGTTGACTTGTCCTGTTTAGGGCAAAAAAAGTTTTTACAGTCAGTGAAGATTTTAAATCATGCCCAGAGAGACAAAAACATGGAAATATGTATGCAAAGTTTACACATATTGTATTGCTGTATTTATGAATTCCCTAATTTTGGAATGTGAAGTGTAACTGTGTACCTATAAAATGTTTTGCTGAATTGTTGTTGTAAAAAAATTGGTTTTGTTATGAACCAATCTATTTAAAATTTTGGTACTCCCGTAGTATGTGTACCAGGTTAGGGCATAATTTTATTCAGATTTTCCATATTTAACTTCTATTACGAGTTTGGGGACTGTCTGTTAGCCAAGTGATATACCCCCTGCCCATAGGTTTCAGTCCCTTTACCCAACTTGATGTAAAGTAGCCGAACAAAATTAGCTACCTCCAAATCGGTACACACACTTCTGGAGCACCTATATTTGTGTATTGCTCTTTCATTACCTATTATGATCATAAATCGAAAAGTAGTGAATTCAACACTTTGCAATATCCATATCGATATTTTAGAGGTACAACACCAGAAATTTTAAATCCATTTCCCATACCTCATAACATTATAAAATAGTTAATAAATAAAAGATAATTAAAAACCCTTCCTTACGTTTGAAGTTGCAGCTTTATTTCAAATCCAGTAGCTTCATAAATTGAATTTTCTTTCAATAATTTGAGCCTGAATTGCATTCTACCGTTAGCAGGGAATGGATTACCAAGGTTACATAGCTGTGATGCATCAGTTTTATTGTCTTGAATTGGTCCACAATGTATATCTCCTCCCTTGATAATGAAAAAGGAAAGCAATGTTGGAATATATGGAGCCCATGGACACAAAAAGTAAATGACTCATTATAACCATCATTGTGTTGTTTCATTTTAACCCTGACATGGGCGAACTATGGCCCACGGGCCAATCCGGCCCGTTGGGTAATTCAATCTGGCCTGCCTGATGCTGCCACAACCAAACCAAACCCAGATTTTGGATGTTTTAGCTAGAAATAACTCATGGAATTTGTTGAGATTAAATTAGTTTTGGCAAGAGGATTATTGTTTTCCACTTTTGCTTTTGTAACACTGTAAATATTGTTCATAAAATGTAACTTTTTACTTCATACTCACATGGCCCGTCAGTCTGGGTTGGCAAAATTTGTGGCCCCTGGTCCAAAAACCTTGCCCACCCCTGTTCAAGCCACAACAATTTAGCACAGCGATCCACTTGTCTAGTAAATTTGAAATGACACATATTTGAAAATGGCTACTATTTTTAACACACATACGCACTATGCAGTATCAAGAAATTCAAGGACGCTCAAAACGAATTGGATAGTTGAAAAAAAAAATTAAAAATCAAAAATATTCAATATCTTAAATACTTGACTTTTTTAGAATAGTTCAGGATAGTTTCAGAGCAATTGAAGTTTCATTGTGAAACTTTTTTTGGGGTTGCAAAATATAAATATAAAAACCAGTCAAAGCATCATTGCTATTTGGGGTTTTTCACGTTTTTTTGCAAGTTTTTTTTGTTGGTTTTCCCGATTTTTGCACGTTTGAGTCTTATCAGAGAGGTGTGTTCCGTTACAGCACACAGTTTACAAAAGCAAAGTATTCAAAAATAAAAAATGATTTTCTGATGGACTTAGGCCAATGTTTTTCGCCTACTCTCTTGAATTGATATCCAAAATAGTAAATTAAATGAGCATAAGTGTTGGTTTGTTTGACTTTAGACCCTCATTCAATTAAAACAAAAAATCAAAGATAACAACTTACAATAGGTGGAATCATGTCGATATTAGTATAATCCAACACAGGAGGTAACCACATGTATAATCTGGCTTGATGAGCATCTTCTCCTGGTGCAGGATTGTTAATATCAATCAACATTCCTATTTGTTTTTCATTTCCTAGTTTGAGTACTGGGATTCCGTCACTGTTTTTTCTGTGACAAGGATGAAAAAATTTAATCATAGTAGTCTTGTATTTTCATAACAATAGATATACATATGGGAGTATGGTAATCAAAATTACAATGTTTAGACTTGTTAATATATTATGGGGTCCATTTAAATTAGTTCAAATTTACTGAAAAAACAGAGAAGATGTAAAAATGTAAGTATAATAGGATACGCATATTAGGATATTTTTAAATTAGGGAATTCTATGCAACAATTTTATTTGACAAATTATCAAATTTCGAGTTGACGCTTTAATAATTATGATTCAATTTGGACACTCGCAGTTCCCAAACAGATAAGCACATTTTTCAGATACTAAGATATACATTTCATTTTTATGTTTTAGATTGAAAACATATTTTTGCCTCTCCTTCATTCATAATAAATTAAAGTTTCAAACAATTCTTAATTGACCAGTTTTGCACCAGAACGATGGAATTTTTCAATTTGATGAAGTGAGCTTTTAATGCATTTTTTGTGATAAACACATGAAAATACCTCCTAAATGATACTAACAATAAGTTTCAATTGAAAAAATCAATTACTAACTTGATTTTTTTCCAGACATCTTCTTCACCCTTTGGAACCAATATCTGATATTCCGCAGTGAGCGATAATTTACTGTTGCATATTTCATCATCACCACACGCTTTAGAAAACTTAATTTCTGCAAAAGCAGTGTTTTCTATTGCTCTGTTCATGATTGGTGTCGGAGTAGGAACGTTGGCAGCACGTCGTTGGCGTTGTCGTTTCGGCAACAAATTTGGTGTTGTGAAAGATAACTCAAGCTCAATAGGAGATAACTTGTCTTGGATGTCTTTCTGTATTTTGTATGAAAAAATTATACTGTTGGCAAGGCTGTGTAGTTGACCATTTACAATACTCCTACTTCGAATCGGAAAAATTTTGACTTTGAATCTGAACTCAAATATTGGAGCATGCAAGCCTACTTTTATTTGGCTGCTAAGAACGCGTGGTAAACTCGATGCATTTTGCGTGTCCGAAGAAAACTTTAAATGATCGTTAGTAAAAGTATAGAATTCAGAATGCAGATTTATGAACAAAAAATATTTTGAAGGTTTTGAATACCATATAGATCGGGCCAAAACATCAGGTATGCAATCTAGTCTGTTAGTAAACAGTCGAATATATATAAATTGTAGTAACTAAAACTTAAATAAGTATCAACCAAAGGCAAGTATAGCTTATTACAATAGAGAGCAATATCTGAGCTATGGGCAGGGTCTCAAAAAAAATTTCACTTCACAATACATTTAATTATGATAATGCATGTCGAAAAATTTCAACCTTGTTAAATTGAGTGCTTTTTATGGCAAGGAAAAGTTTTTCATAACATGTGTATTCATTTAATCACTTTTTATAAAGCAATTTTCATTGTAATATGACAAGTAGGGCAAATAAGAAACAATAATTTAGGAAATAGATTGATATTGTGCAACACAGGAAATTATCTTGCAATGTGTGGGAACTACTGGCTCGGAATGAAATATATGGAGAATCACTCTATGTGAGTGATGAAAAAACAATCACCGATCGGCAAGCAAAACTGAACAACTAACCTTAATATAAACAGTCAATGTTTCACATTTCTTCTTTTTCCTTGACTGTTTGTATAAAGTGATATTTACAGATTTTTCGGCAGCGGATGTATCAGTTAAAGAAAATGACGCTCTTGTAGGAAGATCCGTTCCCAACCTTGTCGTATCTAACTTAACTGTGTAAGTTGCTTCGACCGATTCATCAAACGTCCGTGGTGATGCTGTATATCTGAGACAGACTTCAATATCGTACCTGAAAAGGAGTTAGTCACGAATATTACAATTACAAATAAACGAAAATAAGTACATTGCTCCTATTGGGAAGCACTTCGTCAAAATTGTAATTGGAAAATGTACAAGGCAGCATAGTATTTCCGAACTCCAACAAAATTTTTTTAAAGCATTGGATATGGGAGCAAATTTAATAGCTTTTTTAGCAGCGATAACAACCTGAACTACTAACTAATTTGAAAGGAATTGCTCCAATAGTTGAAGAGAAAAATGAATTTTTTCAGAACCACAAAGATAACAACAATTTATCAATGCGATCTGTGTCTAAGAACAGGAGACCACAGAAGGAACAAAAATATTTAAATAATTAATTAAGGAGGTTAATCAAAATTCAATTATCGATAGCCTATTTGAAAAATCAAGATAATGAAAATCACTATTTTGTCTTCATAAAAATTTCAACACTTTGAAGTAGCCTAGTGCGTTAAGTATAAGATAAAACTGTCATGGCATCTCAGGTTCAAATCCCATGCCCACTACCTCAGTCAGGGTGCTATAAATTGGGTGGACATTGCCAACACTAAAAAATTCCATTCCTTCAAAACTATAGTAGTTCCTTACCTACTGCTTGTACAGAGCCTTATTCAGAGTGAAATGCGTGTCGAAACGTCATATAAAGAAAATCAATGGCATATATTATGGTACTCCTGTGGTATGTGAACCAAGATGGCGGACACCGGAATGTAGTGTGTACTAGGTTAGGCTTAAGCCATAATTTCAGGTACAAATACTACGGGAGTCACTTGGCTAGTCCCCGAACTCATAATAGAACTAAAAATAGGAAAAATTGGAATAAAATTATGGCCTAACCCTAACTTGGTACACATACTACGACCCGGTGTCCGCAATCTTGGTTCACGTACTACGGGAGTACCTATATTACTAATTATAAATTCCTCTAGAAACCAGAACCTGCCATATATGAACATACCCTTTATTCACATCTCTATTTTCTAACTCGATCTTGATATCTGGTCCTTCAATAGTACCAATGATATTGACAATGGGACGAGATTGAAACATGACAACTGAGTCTGACAAGCTACCGGCAGCAACATCTGGATACCCATTGAAATCCATATCCAAACCACCACTGACAGAATATCCCATTCCTGTAATGTTATTCGCTAGGTAACCACCTTCGATGAGCTTGCTGGCTCGAATAATCTGAATAAAAAATATGAGAATTGGATAATTTAATATAGACTTGATGAAATGAAAGTAGACAAAAGACTATTCAAATAATAAAATGCCTTGCAACCTTTTTGTAAAAATTGGGACACATCTCACAAACCTTGTACATCATATGATATTATTGTGGTTGGGGCACAATACTCGATAAGATGGTTGTTGAAAAATCAGAAACTTGCTATCAATGAATTGAAATAAATCCAACTGGAAACAATGTTTAAAGACTAATCCAGTTTCAGTGAAAGGAAATACATAAATAATTTAAAAGGTAGAACTACACACCATGTTTTGAGAAGTAAACCACAAGAGTGAAAATGAGACAAAAATGACAGCTTGAATGTTACAGACCAACATAAAAGGGCCAACGATGTAGAATATCGCCAAGCATAAATCATGCTTGGATATACTAATGAAGCCCAAAAATCGTAAATTCACTAGAAAAAATACCCAAAGTAACGAGTCTGCTACACAGTCAACAAGTCAAGATTCACAGAATATAGAATCACTTTTATTCAACAAAATGAGATGTTTTAATCCTATTATCCTATATGAGTTGAGATGCATATATCTCAGTTACTATTTTAATTTTTAATACCTGAGAAGTATGGACAGCAAAATCAGGACCTTCATCAAAGTTGGGTAATAAAATATATTATATAACAGTAGTAATATGTAGAAATAGGAAAAATTATTATTTTTCGAAAAATTTGTTGAAAGAAAAAACCTTTTTCAGGTATTTTCTGAATTTCAATTAAAGTAAAAATTTCTTGAAGTATCCCCCTATAATAGTTATATCTCTAGCCTTGGAAGATTTATAAAAACAACTAAAAACATCTTAATACCTGGGAGGGTTCATCGTGAACGCCTTTGGTTCCATCTTGGTTATTACCATGGTAAATATAAACTGCACCTTTCCATTCATCAGCACCAGGAGCACCGATGGCAATATCATCCGCTCCATCCATATTTACATCACCCAAGTTTGTAATGGACATACCAAATGATGAATCAACAGTCCCAAATAAGCTATAAATAAGTTATATAAATTTCAAAACGAATAGCATTAGCAACATGACTAATTTATTGAATTAGAAAATTGATTTATCAATTATTGAATACATTTTTTATGGTAATTTTTAACTTACCCTAAGTAAACCTAATTGGTGTGTATACAATAGTATAGAGGAACTAAAACCAAAAAATTGGGTTATTTTTGGTGAAGATAGTAGCATGTCAACAAAAATTTGTAAAGAAATGCCTTTGGAATAAATTTTGACAAATATTATAAAATGATTGTTATAGTACATATTTTTGAGTGAATTGACATATGCTAAACATCTGAAATATTCTCTAAATTTATAAGCTCAATATACTAGGGAAGACATGGGTTCGAACCATTGTTTATGCCAGGCAAAGTACACAACATCACATGAAAGTGCAATAAAATTATCAAGCTATGAGCTGAAAACACGCTCGTAAAATAAAATAACAATCCATAGTATTTGATTGTGATATATTGTGAAGAGACTTATTTAAAATGAAGGCATAACATAAATTTTCAAAATTTGTTTACATTTGTGTGGGATCTGGTCCAATTTGCCCGAGACCTTTATTGACATATATGTAGACAGCACCTCCAAGTTTTAATTCTCTGTCATAATATTGTGGTGCTCCAACAATTAGGTCCAAACGCCTACGAAAAAGTTGAAATTGTTAGGATAAAAAATAAATGATGTTTGTATCATTAAGACATCAGTTTAGGAAATGAATTATTTAAAAAAAAGAAACAGCCCTAAGCTGATGAATGCATAATAATTCGCATATAAGCCACCCTACAAATCATAACATGCCATACAAGTTGTAGCTGTTGGAATTAAGGAAGAAATTTTTCAAGCAATGGCAATTTTTTGAACCTGGAATATCTAACCTGTGGCATCAACAAAAATTAACACATAAAGTAGAATAATGCTACTAAAACAAGTGAATTACATCAAATTAAACTCCTTATGGGACCAGAGTGCTGAAAAAGCAGAAAATTTCAGTTTCAGCTTACTTCAGTTATCTCAATATAGAAGATGCTTGTTACCAATGGCTGCAGACAAAAGAAAGCCAGTATGGGAAACCATTTGTTATCCTAGTTTACAAGTGCTGTCTAAAATATAATACAGCAATTAGTTTATGCTTGGCCGATGAAAGCATTAGTATTTTGAGTATTTTATCGAGCACAGGGCATGGATGGACCATGCCTCATCGGCACGATCCATCCTTGCCCATGCTCGATTTGATATAAATATGTTTAAAATAAGACAAATATTATTTAGGATAAGGTGATGGTTTATCATCAGATGCATTTATATTATATAGCCAGCTCTCCCTAATTTTTAATAGATAAGTATATATTGGATATGGCAGAGACCACAAAAATTTTCCTACATGTTAATCATAGTCTATACTGAGATGAAATTCCCCATACAAACTTGATTTGTACGCCTGACCTTGAACCAACATCATGAACTATTATTACTATGAACTGAGTTTTCTTTGCATTCGTGTACACTGTACAGTGTACTTTAACCTCTTTAAATAGGCTCTTATTGAAGTGAACAAAATTTTCAATTCAAACTGTTTATATGATATTCGGAATATGTTAAAACTTTGAACACTGAGGTGAATAGGTATTTCTTTATATCACGAGTTGTCAACCTTTAGCATTGAAAGAGCCATTTGGCATCCTTTCTATGGAACTCAAACCTACTCGAAGCGGCAACATCTACCCTAATGTTAGTGGCTATTGGAACTCTTGGAACACTACATAATGATGTAATGTTCTAGTTCTTACTGAGAAGTCACAAAAATTATGAATTCAGTTTGCAACGAAACGAAAAGAACTTGGAAAATAAAAAAAAAATATTTGTTTCGACAGACTTGAATCACCTTGATGCGACCTATTTTTACTGCTCCGTCTGTGATGTGTAATTAGTGAGTAGTAATCGACTTTATGCCCTCAAATTAATATTGAATCCCCACTGTGTCTAACAAAAAACTGCTGTAGTCACTTTGATTCACGGGAGCCAGAGCTCCAAAAACAATGAGCCTCAAGTTGCCGATCGCTGCACTATATGAACTATTCCCATGCCTTTCTCTTTAAAAATTGAAAGAACCGGAATCTTTTCGGTTCAGCATACAGGTGAAGTGGAGCAGATGAGAACTGAACCCGCGATTTTTAAACTGCAATGGCAACTTGGCTGAGTATAGTTCTTTAACCACTTCGCCAGTGGTGATCAAACTTTCATGATTCATGACTCCATTACGAAGACTTTCAATACTCATGGGCCCCTGGGTCCAGTTTAAGAATTCCTGCACCCAGCCATCACATCCATATAAACCAAAATACAGCTTACCCATCTCCAGTGACATCAATAAGTTGAACTTCATGTCCAAATCTTGAAGCAACTCTATCACCATGAACCATTTCTTTTATGACAAACTTTTCATCTTGCACTGAATAATATAAAGCTTCGATTAACAAGATTCTAAAACCAAAATTTTCTAAATATATAATTTGTACAAATGCATATTTCGGCGCCCCAGAAGTATGTGTACTAATATGGAGGTAACTAATTTTGTTCGACTAGTTTACAACAAGTTGTGTAAAGAGACTGAAACCTACGGGCAGGGGGTATATTCGCTTGACTAACACAGACAGTTCCCGAACTCATAATAAAACTGAAATGAGGAAATCGAAATAAAATTATGGCCCAACCCTAACCTGGTACACATACTACGGGAGTACAAATATTTCTTGGTTGAACCGAATTAAGAACATATTCTTTATCCAAAAATAGTATTTTCGATCTGATTCAGAATAGTACAAATGTACAATATCATCCCTGAAGTAGTTTGATACCCCACGGCAGTGATTCCCAAACATGGGTTCATGTATCTGTACAGGCCCACAAATAGATCTTAGAGCAGTGGTTTTCTTCAGGTTTTTTGTCAGAGCAGAATACAAAGAAACATCCTGGGGCTCGAGATAACCCTGTACAATAGTTTTATTGTTTGAATTATGTAAGCTATAACATACAGTATATAAGAGCAAACCTAATAATGACAAAAGAATGGTCTTTAATTAAGTGTAGCAAGATTACTAATACCTATAAGTACTTTGATTTATTTAAAGAATCTACATATATAAATATAGACTTAGATTTGAAACGGTATTGTAGATACAGTATATACAATGAGAAGGTATATCAGCGCAAACCGATTCTTTATGGTTAAAAAAGTGTATTTTTTGCAAGTATAACAACACACCTTCTTGAACCTTGGCAAAAATGACAACTGATCCAGTAGAATTAACACCTGGAGCTCCAGCAATGTAGTTAATATCCGAGTCAAGCAAAACTCCATTTGCCAGTGATGAACCTTTGTGAATTAAATAGTGTAAGCCAAGGAATTTGTCGTATTTCGTAACATTTTGTAAACGTTGTTCAGGCACATACTTGGGTAACATTATAAAGCCTATTGTTCAGATATGGCTAAAATATACAGAATACAATCTACCACACGATTTCTACATTAGAGAGAAGTTGAAGTAAAGTGAAAAATAATTTTATCATATTGAATAGCATATACGCTATTTATTACTAAAAATCCACAATACCATTCAAAATCTATTACCAGTACCTTTTCAGATCAGTTATTAAAGAATTTCAGTAGAAGGAGACTGTGGACAATTCAATTTTCCACATCTAAACTATAAGCAAAGAAAGCAAAAACCTACCGTGACATATTCAAAAGAAAACATTCAGTAATATAGTTAAAAAATATGAAGCAACAAAATGATACAATTATTAGGCTAATCAATTATTAAAAAATACCAGATGATTCAAAGTAAACTAAAAACAGGATTCTTGACATTGGTAACGGTTGTTAGTGATTAAACATGAATATGTGTAGGGATGTCCATTACAAAATTATAATAAGATTAAAAATTTCCATTTATCAACATTCACAAACTTTTTATCAAATTTTTAAGTGAATTTACGATTTTTGTCCACAACTGGTCTAAAAAACAGCTTGTTATGATAGTTTTACTAAAAATTTGGTTTGAAACTTACTTGGGACATCCCCGGACGACAATGATATTTACAAAATGGGAATTACTCTGAAAAGAATTAACATTCTTTTGCAAAATGATGAATTTGTGACAACAATAATTAATAAACAGTAATGAAATTGTTATGCAAATTAAAACAAAAAGGATAAAATAAAAAATAACAAAATGCCACACCCTGTATCCAAATGCGTGAGACTGCCAATAATTATTATTAACTCGAAAGCTAAAATTTCCTCCATAACTCTCCAAAATTTACTCAGCACTGCAGATGATACAGGAAATGACATTGTGAAACAAATTATAAAGTTAAATTAGCTACTCACCATGGGAGCAGAAGACAAAAAACCATAGGGTAGCCAGACTATAATCCTATTAAAATAATTAATAAAGCAGTGTCTGATATCAAACACTGAAAATTGCCTGAAAAAGGCAATGCCAATATATATGTTATATGAGCCATAACTGATCTGCTGAGTTCTCTTTTGCAAAATTCACATCCAAATTAAACCACTTTCCGTGAAAAAAAAAACGGTTAAAATAATTGATAAATCCAGGCTAATTAAGTAGCGTACATGTCTGCATTTTGGAAGTGTCTTCCTAAAGTTTTTTAATCAATTACTGGTATATGCAATATCCACAAAGCAGCATGCAGCTATCTACAGATTAAATACAGTGATGGCGTATGAACACGTTAATACATCAAAAACCAAAAAAGCTATTTTTGATTCGACAAATACTAAGAAAAAAGCAGGCATAGAAATTTTTTCAATTGTAATTCGTGATAAAAATAATCTAGCGGGTGCTACAAACTATACCATGCACATATCAACATAACAGCTTATTAAAGCGCTGACAGATAAAGCGTACCGAGTAGCGAGTTTTTTGGTATCTGCGCCGCTAGTTCCAGATCGTTATTGCTCCACACACTAGGAGTAGGAAAGAGAAAATCCAGGCTTGTACTTACAAGCTGAAACGCCCCTGAATAAGCAATGAGTTCAAAACAATATTGTTAATTAATTAAGAGGCATGCATTAAAAACAAAATACAAAAGAAAACTTTATATGCATGTATGGCGCTAATTCATTGGTTCTCATGGCCAAAAATATGTATTGCCGAGTATGTAACATCGGTTTATACTCGATACTACATTATAAGAACAACGGGACAATCTTTAACAAAACCTAAATACACAAATTCAGAGGCTACTTTTTTATACAATGTCCATTCTCGACTTCCGCTCTGTACAAGACTACGTACAAGCAACCATTATTACAAAAAAGGGTCATATTCCACCTGCCACAGATTTCTCTGGGCACAGGAGAATGCCCAATTTCTCATTGAGCTTATTCTCAAATAATTATAAAACCCTAATAAATTTTCATAATTCATGATAAAAAAAAATATATAATAGTATGCGATTGTGAGGATCTAATAAAAACAATTTTATATATCAGGCATGGACCAAGAAAAAATGGTTTTGTTATTTCATAATGAATATTAATTTTGATGGAATCGAGGATGAATGGATAAAACTGAATATTTCTTATTACGAATACATTCTAAAATAATATAGAATATTTTCAAATATAAAATATCAATATTTCAAAATATGAATATTGGTATGTCCAACAGGAAATTAAAAAAAATTAATTTCATGGCTGTAGAATTTAGAGATAAACAACTTTGAATAATGTTCCTTTTTTATAGAGTCAGATGTTGGACTATGTTTATTTTTTGCTTGGGTCACTCAAGATGACGAATTTTCAGACGAAGATATTCAAAATTATTTCAAAATCGAAAATTCCTTATAGCCTACTGAATATAACCAATTTTGAAAATATTCGAATGCTCTCAGACATCCCTGGGTTGAAGATGTGACAGTTCTAAAGGATTTGAATCTTAAAAATTAGACCAAGCATCCTAATGCAGATTAACATGGGAATCATTTTTGAATTTCTTAAAAATCTAATATTTTTGATAATACACTATATCGACATAGAGGTATCTCATTTGCATAATAAATTAAATGTTTATTCATTTGTCTATTTCCTTACACATATTAATATCGAGCACATATATTGCTGTCAAACAATGCATTCATGAAAAGATAGATACCCAGCAAAACTGGATTAAACTGGAATTAAGCTGTCAATGTTAGTATAGAATAGTGTTAATAACTACAGCACAAGCAAAGAGTAGCAGATGACAGATACTGGCAACAACGAGCAAGGCTTTTGAATTATTAAATAGGTCTGTGCCACTATATTGATACAGGCTACTTGGTTATTTCCAACAAAAAAGTAATGATAGAACCTGCCTTTAGATCCGAAAATTGAAAAAATCTAATCATTCATTTGGTTCCTGAAACTACTGTACTATGGTGCAAATTGCGATAAGGGTATCGACAACTTTCCAAACTTCAAATTGGCTTTGTGGCATATTATGGGCACGATGTGTGCTTTCTACTCTATTGTCAAATTGATGGTTTAAATATATTTCCCTATTCAAGCATCGAGCTTAGAAGACTATATAACATTATTCTTACTCTAGCTTGTTCAAAAGATAGCGCTAAAATTTTATTATTGAACATTGAACTCTAGAGTATATCTGTTGGGAATAACAACTAACTTTCCCATATCCATGATAGGATGACTTGCTATTTTACGATTAGAGTCCTTGTACTATCACAGCTAGGGAGGTCATTATATATACAATGAGTAGAAATATGATGCATCATACCATGGTAAATACATAAAAAAAAAATTTAATTATTGGTATTGACTTGCGAAGTATGCAAAGCGTAGCTTTCTGAATAGGCAATTTATGAGAATGTGACATAATATGCCAATGAGTTTATCATGAAAGCAAAATGAGCAACCAATAAAAACAAATCTTATAGCTTACTTTTGCTTCGACATTAAAAACTTAACAATCCAGTTATGTTTATTGCTAATCAATTATAAAATTTGAAAATAAATATTTTCATAGGGTGTTTTGAAGGTTCGCCCCTAGGCGGCACTAAACAAACTAATTAATGATAAGTTATTCAAGTTAAGCAAAACAGATGAGAACTATCAAATGTCTACCTAGATAATTGCTTTGTCACAGAGAGTTTGTAATTAATATGAGTTATGACGACTTATTATTATAGTTATCATATCATAAGCTTGCAAGAAAGAATTTTGATAATGAGAACTCAACAGTATAGACTGCATTCAGCTTATCAGTTATGCCTTAATAACCAGTTTTCAGAAGAAAACAATTCAACAAGACAATTCAACATTGCTTGGTAATTTTTGAGCTACTAATGGTATTATGGTATTCTGCCCCCACGTATGGTGTGCTTTGGGTTTACCAAGAAGGCTGTTTTTCTTTATTGGGTATTTCGTATTAGGTACTTCTTGTGTCCACATGTTGATAGAACCAATGGGAAATAGACCAGGGTTTAGTTGTGAGGTGTATAAAGCTCCTGTATGCAAACAGTCAAAAAATTATCATATTTACGATATACTCAACAATAAATTGATTCATTAAAATAATTAATATACATGTAATCAAAATGAAAAATGTAGATGGAGCATTGTCTATGTGTGGTTGGTAGCTGTAACAGACAAGTTGGTAAATGTATTTTTCAAATCAGGGCTCAGGATTTGGAAATGTATTTTTATATTGGAGTTGTATAATCAAACTACCTCGAGTTGAGTGTCTAAATTTTAAATCTCTGGAGTAGTGAATTGAGATTTCAGTTTTTTATTAGTTATAATTAATTACAGTCCTGATATCTGACAAAATCTTAAAAGCAATGGGTTGACTTCTTGGAAGACAAATTACAAAAACGACAAATTTTTTATTTTGAGGTTGCGAGTCTGAAATATTTGTCAAATCGTAATTTGGTGTACATTTTTGCAATAATGTTGAGTTCTGATTCCAAACTACGTATTTGAGTTTCAAACTGATCAACTTACAATGGGCAAAAGACTAATGGACGCAAATTGACAATAAATAAGGCTAATGAAACATTGAAAATATGTTTTTTCTAACCAGAGATATACTTAATTTGACCAACAGTATAACATTTTTGTAATATGTAAAAACAATGCTAGAAAACCTTACCACTCCAAGTAAAACTACCGGGGGCACCAATTGCGATATATTCTTCAGTTTTCGTGGGTTTCGGGACATCCGCAAAGTTCACCGCAGTGCCGGCCTGTGGAATGCATATTGTTGTTTTTAAATTGAACAAGATGTCAAGACGTTCCACCATTGCGTAACTGCTAAATTAATTAACTTACTATGATCTAATCAAAATATATTTTGACTAACTTAGATAGAAGAATCACTATGTTTTAATGAATACAACTTGTTCGACAATCATGTGGTTCATATGACAGCTGACGCTCTTTCCTGTTTTACACTTGTGTTAGCTGATATGCAAGTAGCCTACAGGGTAAAAGGATGCCATATAGCAAGAATCAAATCGCTTCAATATATTGATTCGATGGGATATCACTAAACTTTCCAAAATTTATTCTGCAATGTTTTGGTTTCTTCACAAAATAAATAGTTTGCAGTTGGATCACCAGTCCACTCATATCAAGCCCAACGATACACAGAGAATATGAGACATTGGTTAGAGCTACTCAATAATTCAGGCCAGGTGACTCTTTAAGAGCATTGATCAGTGTAATATATCAAAACACTTCGTTAAAGTTCGCACCAGGTCACCTCTTAATAGTAGCAATGTTATCTATAATAAAATACCTGACAATATCCAAGCCACAAATGATCGTATTTTCCGTCCTCATTCAGCATACCCTGACATGGCGTATACTCAAACGACAGACGGTCCTTTAGTGGTTCGACAGAGTTTTCCAACATGAAACATCGACCAATTACAGCCTCCCATGCTATTGCTTTCCGTACACCACCTCTTATAGTATAACGATGAGCACACACCTAAAAAGTAGAGCTCAGGATTATGAGTCTGTTGTGCTTTTGTAATAACAAATTCTTCGAAATTCCAGACAATTCAATAGTGAAAAGTCTAAATCTCAGACCAAAACTCAAGAGCAATAAGTTTCCCAACAGACAATTATTAAAGAAAGCAAAGATAAGTGAAAACCACTCCAAGGCCCCATGATAGATGCTATCAATGCTTAAAAAATTGGTTAAATACCAATATCCTAAATTGCCGCAAAGTAAAAGTATTCGAGTATCAAACAATTCTGTATCTGTATTGTATTTCTTGGATCTTCGCTCTAGGAGTCCAATATTTTCAGTCATTGTGTCTGTCTGTGTAACCTATCTGTCAACTGTGTGTTTCATCGAAAGCTCGAAAATACGCGCCGATTGTTGGGATACTTCAGAAATTTATACTGTACTGGCAATCCTTGCCCTTTTCTTTTACTAAGCTAGATCGAAAATGAAAATTCAGAGAATGCTACTTTCGCAGAAGAATATACCCTTTCGAACAAGTCATATTCCATTTAGATATTTCATGAACTGGGAAAGCCCTAATGAGAATTTTAGTGACCATGTATCGGGCACAGTATTCCACCCACATGCCGACGAGATGCGCAGCTTTCAAAATGAACTCGCAGTTCCGCAGTGCACCTCCATTATTAGCCTGCAATTTGCATGGTTGGTCACGGTTTGCTGGAGTTTGTGCCTCAAGTATCAGAGAACCCTCGCGCGCCTTCCGGGTTGTTATAAATAAAATCCACTTACCACAATTTTTCCTCCGGGCTTATGTGATTTTACAGTAACTCCAAGCCATTGATTAGAAGAATTGGTTCGCATTGTGTTAACTAAAAGGAAGAAAAGTATTACTTGATAAAATAAACATACGTAATAATACACATTCAACATGGCTCTTCAAACTGGGGGTTGCAACCCACCTCAAACTGGGGGTCCTGACCCTCAGTGGGTCACGGAAAGTCTTAATGGGGGTCACGGTAAAATATTTTTCGACAGTAACTGATGTTAAAACAAAATATCGATCTTTTGTGCGAGAACATGCAAGCATATCGGTCTAATTAAAGATTGGTCAGTTTTATTATTTTTTTTTTTTAATATTTTTCGTATTATTAAGTTTCGGTTTATTATTATTTCAGTTCCTGAGGGCCGCGAAAAAATTTGACTAGTCCAAGTGGCCAGTGGGTTGGGGTGAAAAAAGTTTGAGAAACATGAAGCACTTACTTAAAATAATTTTATGAAGCTGGCTATCATGAGACGTTAATTAACTTAGAAGTGGATATACATGTTCAAATAGGACATTATTATGAAATACCAATATTAATTATAATAAGTAATAACTTATTGTCCTGGTTAGTTAAATTATAAATGTCAGAAAAGTACAAGCAAATTGTTGTCTTTAATTAGTCACACATAATATTAATAATACAAAAAGTTATATAAAACAATCCTTATTATCGATTGATATATAAATGAAGTTATTTATTGAAATATATTCGCCATTCAACCAATCAAATAATGTAAGAAATTAACTAAACTAAAGCGAGTAGAATGACATATGTTTCTGGAATAATAGACTGAAAAAAATTTCTTATTTACCATTTAGCACCTGCAGTTATTAATTGTTCTTAGCAGACTCTACCTATATCACTAAGACACCAATGGGCATTGGTATATTTGATGGAGAGTATAGCAATCTTCTCACACATGATTACCCCTTATTGGATTCGAATCTGCAATCCATCGAAGGTTAATCAGGGTTGCAATAGAAAGTGTATTCCATATAGCTCAGCAGTCAGCACGGTGTGTCAAATGCCCAGCTTAGTAGTATGGCAACTTGCGGAGTGTACAAAAACCCATAAATGACAACTATCGTATTCAAAAAAATATCAAAAATAATTATCAAAAGTTGACATGAAAAATTAAACAATAGCACGAAGAAACACAAATTTAACCTTTCTCTGGAAATAATCTGGTTGAAAAATCTTCTTCTTCAAAATTTTCTGATGAGCAGCAGAAGAAAAACAAAAAAAAAGATCAATTTCAAAGGTATTTAACCGACCAACAAGGACAACAGATGATCAATACTGCATGCAGATGATATGACCTTGAAAGAGGCAAAACAGCTGACAAGGTGTTTCTTTGTAAAATGCATGTCGTCCATGGATGGTTGTGCGAAAAATGAAACAAAACTTTTCAGTTTGTTTGATATTTGTCTTTGAATGATATCAATCCGAAAAGTAGCATTATGAAATTGCAACTTTTTCAGCTGAGAATATTTTGCAAAGTACAAACGAAAATGCTGTATATTTATGGCAGAATATCAATATGCCCAGCAAAAAATTTTCCTCATGTGACAATGGATGAAAAGATATAACCAATGAGAACAATAATAATGCCTGACATTGAAAAGCATGCCCATCTTTGAATCGATGATATGAGGCAATATTCCATGCCATAACAATTCATATCCTTCAAACAACAACAATAATATAACAACCCAATAAATTCAGAATAATGAAATAATGTTGCAAACATACTACAACACAGATAAATGCAAAACCAAAATTCAATATGCAATGCAAAAAACAAACAATGGATAAAAATTTAAAATACAACTTTCTTACAAGCACATAACTTACAAAAATGATGCAGTATAGATATATTTCAGGAGAAATTGGGCTATGACAAATTTACTCAGACATAAACATATGATGACATTTAAATAATTTATAATGCAAGGACCTAACAATGAAAATGGAAAATATTTTCGATTTTCATATTCATATTTCATTCACATATTCGATTTTCAATAATTTTCCCAATTGGATTTTTTAAAGACAGGAAGTAGCCTACCGTATTTGTAAATTTACATTTCTTTTTAATACAAAACTCCCAAATCTGATTGCTCCATAAATTTCAGGATTATTGATCTATCCTGCATTTCAATTAATATACCAGGATACCATTTCCATTTTATTAACAAAATTAAAATTAACAAACAAAGCTTCGCTGATCTTTATTAATAAACCACGATAACTGTGAATGACAGTTTGATAAATAATATTATTGCAACAATGCAGATATTGTGTTTCAATTCCTATGGGTAAATATTTATTTGAAATGAAATCAGAAGCGTGAATATTGTAAGCTCTAGCGACAATTGATAATAGTATTACTGGGAGTGACTAAGTATTTGAAAGACAATGAAGATACACTTCAAGGATAAAAAACTTTTATCTCAAACTGTATGTGAGAGGTAGCGTTGGATCAGGAAGGGTTAAAATCGAATAATTCACATTTCACAATACCATCTAAAAATTCATTTTTGAATATGGATTATTAAATACATTCTGAATTTGCGCAAATTGAATAAAGAATTTACTATACATTCAGTAACAATGAATTTGACAGTGTATGACAGTAATAAACAGTAATTAGATCGTTTTTTATTGTTTACAGTTTTCAGAACGAAGGCCCTTTTGGTTATCGTGTGGGAAGTCATGAATTAAGAATATTGAATAGAATTATTTTTTAATTCAATTCTAATATTCTATTTGTGTCCGACCTCTCTTCTAGGCTGGCAATAATCCATGTTGAAAAAAACATAACAAAAACATGAAACATTTAAATTCTTATCATGCCTGATACATGCAAACACCTTTCACAAAAAATGGCAAGAATGCACAAACATCAGTAATAAAAGTACTATGTCTATTTTAACAGTCTAGAAATAATGAAACAAATTTATATAAAATAATCCAATTAAATTCAAAAATAGCAGTGTAATACCATATTCAAATTAGAGTTTTTTTTTCACATCCCTGATGAATAGGCCTACTAAGAATAAAAACTTTGATACATGTGGTATATTACTATTGAATTAGAAATATATTAATATGGGAGGCTACAAAACTATATAGAATTATAGTTTGGGAACAAACCTAAAATGACACAATTTGATAATATTTTCAATAGCTTACCTGGTGGAGTGATAATAACTCTTGTGCAATCTTCTTTCTCTGAAACATCACATTTATAAAATCCACCGGGTCGAACAGCATCTACGCTGTGTGCAGGTGCACGTTCATCTGTTGGTGCACCGACGAGCAATCTAAAATTAATAGAACATGAGTAAATAAAAAAAAATTGTTTGTGATTGCATTTGGCATCACTGTAATGTCCACTGCTGTGTATTGCCACGTTTTAAACATATAGACATACTAGTAGCTGATAATATAAACATTTCATATACATTCAGAAAGAAAAATACAGATAAGACAGCGTAATGCTATGGACTACTAGAGTCTTTAGTTTGGTTAGATCTTAGATGGCTCACAATTCTTTAAAATATATCCAACGTCATACTGTTTAGTATTTCTAAGTAAATGATTTCCCGAATCATGCTAGACCTAGACATCTTGTTAAACTCAAGTATTTCCTGTATTGGCAGAATGGCAGCTCAAGTAGGTGATTGATTGCAATAGTTTGTTAATGGAAACATGGCCAATAAAAATAAAAACAACAACAATAGATGTCAAGAAACTTTAGTGAGAAATCGATTTTAATGGTAGTGCATCTATTCATTGATAAAATTGAAATGAACCAGGTATTCAATGAAAATTCACTATGCAATTTTCATATTTGCTTTTTATACCAACGCAGACAAGATGAATCTAGATTATTCCAGAAAGTTGTTAAGCAATTGTGGTCATTTTAAAATAAACGCATACTAAAGAAACAAATTTGAATCATATTCAATTCCATATTATTACTCAAAAGAAGATTGTTACAGCTGAGAGCATTTTATGAATGCCCATTGAACTGTAGCAAGAGCGGCAACACTATTTTTCTTACTAATAAAAGATTCTCTGATGATAAGACCTGATTTTAAACTTGGTTCAATAAATTTAAAACAGGTAACAAATTTATTATTTAACAACGAGAATGATATATGAATCTAATTGATTTTGAAATAAAACTGGTTGGGTATACCTAAAGTGAAATTTAAATTTAAGCTATTCAAAATGGAAAATATAGACAGGTAGGCCTACCTAATTTTTCCTCTATAAATCTAACATAAATTGCTGGAAAATAGCAAGACGTGTTAGGATTTAAGTTTATTTCAAATGTAAATCAATTGCAAAACTAAATTCAGGAATATCCAAAATATTTATATAATAGGACACAATATCATGTTATTTGCCAGTAATCCACTTATTAGTAGGATACTAAATGAGGTAATCTCTAATGAGTCGATGAATCATGATCATACAATGATTTACAACGTAAGCATTTGTAATAGTTGAAGTATTCTGATATATATATGGGTGGAGTATGAACAGTCTGGCCTCTTAAAAATAGGAGAAAAATCCAACAGTCAATGTTTGCTATCTGACTGAGAGATTTTTGTGTTGAAAGAACCCCTGAGGCATTGTGTAGAAGTCTTCATTCATAAAATATCACCTACTAATCAAATCACTAAACTAAATTGAAGTTGGTTACAGATTTAAAATCACATTTCAAGAATAGCATGTCAACAATTTTATTGAAAGAATTACTGTACAAAACACAAATTTTTATTCACTTGAATTTTTATGTAAAATCTATTTAAGTTGAAATAAATTGAAATTTTGAGATATTAATGAGGAATTTACATATTTTTACATGCATGACTGAACTGCGTAGTTTTTGTTTATTTTCATGAAGGTGTGATATGTTTAAAATAACATTTCACAGGGCCTATTACAATATTGCAATCGGCAATGACACAAGTAACAACTTCATACACAGAAACTAATGCCACACATCTTACAAAGCTTAAATTACAACTCGTGAAATCTCAGTCAAAAAGTTGAAACACGAGATCTCTGATTCAACCAATTATCTAGTGGGCGACATATTTGGCTTCCAAGCGTAACATTTCACGCATTGCTACGTTTGTACAACACAGGATAAATATTACAGATACAAGGCTGTGCCAATAACGGTGGCAGATTTTTATGACAATAGTCACTATCAATGGCATAAAAATATAATGCGTCAATGCCTATGGGAGTCATAAATATAAAGTAAAAAATACTATAACGAAGTCCTCACTAATGAAAAAGTTGAACTAAAAATGTTCAAAATTAAATTATTTAAAAATAAAACATCTAAGAGACAAAATAATGTAACAGCCGGGATGTCCAAAAATCAAATACATTCTAAATTGCTTATATTCGACATAGTAAAATCTTGATTTTAAGAATAATTTAGTATATTTTAATTTGAAAATGCCTTTCCATTTGAGCATTTAATATTTTATGATAGACAAAAAATTAAACATTAAAAATTTTTTTATTAATTAATCTAATTACTTGCATCTGCCATAAAACTCAAGCAGGTATATTTAATTCAATTAATGCACCTTCGAAAATTAGTCTAATCAACCATCTGGATAAAGTACAACAGACTTCATTAAGCCAACAAACAATAAACCAAGTTTCAATTTACAGGGGAATGCAATAAAATAAACAAACAGATAATCAATGTTGAATACCAGTGGGATAACAAAAATATTACCAAGGGAATGAGACCAACAAATTATCTGTGAAGGAGGAAGACAAATTGATTTCGATTTTAATGAATGTGAAATCCTGCCATGTCCCAAATGATTTATCGGCTCATATAGAAGGGAATGTTGTGGTCCAGACAGAAAACATTAAAATAATTACATGTCAGCTGAGGTATGAAAAGAAATCCCCAAAATCATAAAAGTGATTCATTCATTTACGATTCAGCCAGATGACACAATGATACAATAGTAAATTTAAATGGAGAGCCCACTAAAGTGAGACAACTAAAACAGTGTCTGATATATTTGAAATTAATGTGAATTAGTTAATATTACAAATAAAACATTACACACTATGTTGTCCGTTGAAATAGCCAAAATACAGCTATAGTTTATTTATCGATCTCTCATCCAATCCCTTCAGTTCGACAAATTTGTTTTTGTTATTCAATTATACCACACAAGACAGGTTGGCATATTTTGATGTAATATTAGATTTAATAAATAGAAATAAAATATAAAACAATTGGTAATATAATACTTTATAACAGTTATGTTTCAACTTACAAGAAGGATTTACATTCAGCATGACCAAGGTCACTCAAAGAGGATAATTTAATAACGGTCAAACGAAACTATATAAATCCATTGATAAACTGTAAGGACCAATTATATGAAATAATGCTATGCCGCTACACACAAATTCTTTTTACAAATATAATATCAAATATACTCACACAGCATTGTCTGCTTCAACACTGTTGGCTGTGATATGATGTTGTGCGATGGATAAGCCAAACAAACTGCCCTTGGGACCCATTTTCATGATTGGAAGTCTAGACAAAAAGGGAGTGATAATTGGATTAGGATTGTCAAAATTCAAAGCAATAAAAAGTGTTTCTTTGAAGAAAGGACTAATGAAAAATACTAATTCCAATAAATGGTATTTCATAGATAAATAAGAACAATGACAATTTTGAAGCATAGTTACAGATTCGAATCACAAATAAACTATAAACAAATGAATAATAAGTAAAGCGTTATGAGCAGATAATGTCAAAAAAACTATCTTGGGAAGTGATACAGTGTCACTATCATATTCAAATAAGGTAAAAAAAGGGACAGATACAATTATTTCTGATATTACTGAACAATTGACATCCTACAGACGAGAATATTGGATGGCCTTACAGACAACAATTTAAACATATTGTATTTCAAATCTTCACTATTGTAAATTAATGAGTATAAAATCAAGGTTTCGTCAGACTTTAATAAATAATACCTGTCCTCAATGTTAAATGCCAATGTGAAAGTAGTGCAAAATCCAAGAAGAAAAATAAATATAACAATCATTAAGGACGAAAATGGTAGATGACGATGTTTATCCATGGCTTTATGAAATATGTATAATGTACAAAAGTAATAATAGATTATATATATAAGAAAATCTAAAGATGATCAATCTAAAAATTGTTAGTTCATATTATATTCTCATGTAGTATTAATAAACTGCATTGAAAATTAAAAAATTATAGCATAAATATGTATGATAGTTTTGAAAGAACCAATGTTTGAATTTTTTTTCAGAGCTGTTAAGTAAATTGACGAGTTCAAATAGATCAGTTAATGTCTGATACATTTATTGCAGTATTTGTTATTCTTACTTATCTTTCAGTATTCGTATTATTTATATAAATAATATTATTGATGACATTTCTCTGTTTCTATAACCCTTTTGCTCATACAGCTGTGCAAATTGTGCCAGTGCTGCTCTACTGCTCTACTACCCTTCTTGTGCATAAGGTTAGACAATGTGAAGAAAAAATTGCAGAATTGTACTAAAGTCTGAAAGTTGAACAGACCCTAACTGCTAATACTGTAATATCACAATATCGTAAGTTGTACTACTCTCAGAATCAAAGTTACAGAACGAGTACAGGAGTAAGATGAAGACAACTAAATATTTTTCAGTGGAATCAATTCACAATTATTCATCCGAAAGGCATAAGGTACCGTAGCGTTATACCGTTATGCATGTTAAATGCATTTCACATGTTAAGTGTTTCAAAAGTTTGAAAGTGTTGCACTTCCACACCCTTACTACAGTACTGCAGTAGACGCCTACTGTCTGGATGTAGACTAGTCTACTACCCTACATCGTACACTTAGAACTAGAGACTTAGAATGTAGAAAGGCCTACCATGGTATGGTACCGGTAAGGTCTGTAGATCTAAAAGGTCAAATTGCAAATTTGTGGAAGCAGACAGAACAGTAGACAGGCAGCGCAGAACTGCAGAAGGCTGACAGACTAAGTAGACTACCTATTGCATTCATATTATAAGGTTCATCTAGGCTTAAGGCTTATTTAAATGACTATACAGCAACATGGGATACCGGAGCCGGCGGAGCGGAGGTACCGTATAGAAGCATCTGAGCATAGCCCAACTGCCCAATGAACAGCTACTGAGCTACGGCGGTAACAACACAGCGCGGCGTTCCAACGCCACATTCCCAGATTAAATAATACTAACTGGGCGTTATCGCCTGTTTCTCTTCAAATAGTCAAACGACTTTCGCGAGTGGGCGCTATTTGACGGTAAACATATCGATGCGATGCCTTCCTCGCGAAAGTCAAGCACTTCTAACGCTCAGCCCGATGCATCACGCTTTTAAGTCGACTGTCAGTACTGACATCAATAGATTCCCCAATACGGTCGATAACTTTTGCCGTTGACAAAGGCACTGAAAACAAGTTAGCTTCTTCGCAGTTCTTTTTCCTTAATGTTAGATAGCTATACCTTGTGTTCTATTATCGATAAAACTGAAAACACACATTAGGAACTTTTTAATTCGAGTTTGTCTAGAATGAGACTACCTCACCACATCAAAAAATATTTCATGGAAGAAAATTATTATGTATGTTACAGCCACATTGTTGTGTGTGAGGGTGTGACGTACTAGAATGGGGAATGGGTGCCACGTATGGTCTGGTGCTCCTGTTAGTTTTTCCAAGATCCTAGGAAAATTTAGAACAAATGTAACAGATACGATTGGAAAAAAGCTGAATGGCCACTGGGGATGCCCTAATTTGTTGCCGTTCTTAATCTGAATTTATCGGTAGTTTCGATCCATACACCCAGAAATAACAGTAACATATATACATTTTCACCAGTTATGTATTATTATCAATCAATCTTGGGGAAAATGGTATTTGTCAATTTTCCAAACAACGTCTCCAATTCATTTACACAAAAGTAAAAATGAAAGAAAGCGTAAACACACCAGTCTTTAACAACAGTGTTGAAATCTTGTGTTTGCTGCTGGGTGATGCATCCTGGCATCCAATCATATCGTCATCGTCCATGCCAAATAGAACAACCAATATCATAAGACTTTGTCTTATCTTTGACCTAATTTTCGTCATTGCATCGGTAATTTGTACTATCTCCCATGAAAAGCTAGTAAGATAGCTTGCTAGGTGAGTATAGTCGGTAATGAGGAAAAGCAAGAGTTCAACATTTCAGATGTTCTCCCTGTGACTGTCGATAGTCCGGCAGATAAGGGGACCTTTTTGGCCCAAGTTTGATTTCAGACATAAAGTTTTTTTTATTTGTGATTATTCATCTTGGGGTCATTGCCCATCATTTCTACACGGGTGTGTTATTAGAGAGAGAGTTTATTTCATTTTGTCAAACCAAGAAAACAATTTATGCACACATAAACAAATATCAAAAAAAATAGTTTTCGGTATATGACTGGGGGGCAACGATACGACCTTTGGGGGTCATCAGAGTCAGTTGCCACCCAATTATATTAAATAAGCATAAAAATAACAGGTTCGTGTCAATATTTCAATGTCTCTCACGATTTATACTATGTACAATATTTACATGAATTTACTATTCTTAATTATGAAAGCATTCTTTTAAATAATAGGATTTTGCACAAATTGAAATTTTATTGCAAAATATAAAATGATCAAAACGAAAAAAAGTGGGAAAGCAGGTCAGACAAGCTACCCCTTATTTGGGTAACTTGTTTTATTGAATGAATTTAAGTTAAACATAACAAGTGGGATTTTGAACAAGCGAATATGGGTAGAGTTCTATTCTACACACACTAGTGCAATGTAATCAGATGCATGGGTTGAGTCATCAAAACAAATTAGAATTTGGTTTAAACAACAAAAAAATGCATTTTAAAAATGCAATACATTGTAAACTTTGTATAAACAAACAATCGATATTAAAATATCAAGAAAGTTAATGCAAAAACAAAACAGTTGACTTAATGTAGGAATAAATAAGATTCAATATTTCATAACACTATGTGAAATGATTCAGAACACTTTAAAAATAAACATCAAATATTAGTGTTTGTACATAGAAATAGAACAATTCATAAATCAAGGCCATTTATCCAGATTTTTACACTAATTGGTAGTAAATGGATTAATTTATCATAGATTAGCCAGGGATCTCAATAGGAAAGTATTGAGATATCGTTGGTAGGTCAAAGGTTGATGAAAAAGAGCTAATAACTTAGCATATTAACTTCATAAGATAGAAAAATTGAGTGGAACATTTTATTACACAATTAGGGACTCTTTTACATGAGAGCATTTAATAATAGCAATCAAAAAATAAATCAAGGAAATATCATGAATGCATAAAAGCTTGGCATATTAAATTTATAATATAGAAAAAAAGAATGTAACATTTTGTAATATGATTTGGGACACTTCAAATGTGATATTAATAGTAGTTATCAAATATAGAGATAAAGAGCACATGTTAGCGAGGAAATAACTTGAAGGTAGATATAAGGTTGGCATAACTCTATAAAATGGAAAATGAGAAATGTAACATTTATAACTTGATTTCGAATACTTTGAATATGAACATTAAATAATAGTAATAGAGTATAAGAAAAAATCAAATAAAGAGCTCATGTCAACAAGGAAATATCATGAATGCAATACAAGATTGGCTCATTAACTTTATGATATAGAAAATAAAGAATGGAACATGATTTGGGTCACTATAAATGAAATATTACGGTAGTTATCAAATATATAAATAAAGAGCACATGTTGCCGAACAAGTAACATGTATGTAATATAAGCTTGGCTTAACTTTATAAATGGAGAATGAAGAATGTAACCATTTTTTAAACACAATTTTAGACAATTTGGAAATTAATAATAGTAATCTAATATAAAAAAAAAAATAGCTCATTTTGCCAAGGTATCAATATCCTGAATGAAATTTTGGTTTTAGAGTTTTAAAGTAGAACTCGCAATATGTACAATTTGTAGATATAGTGAAGGATTGCAAACATAAAAAAACAGTAGTCTTCAAAATCACAATGAGATATCAACAACAATTCACTGCGAAGACACAAGTCAGGCATATTGGAATTGCAAGTGTATATGGATTAAAGGATACAGTGTATATTTACCCCTGACTAGGCTAGGACCAAATCGACAAACATCAAACTTCAGCAAGGAATTTAAGTTACATCAAAGATTGTTTTATATATAACTGCCTCAGAATCAACTCTGTTCCAACACATGATCCAACTTTTATTAGATAATTTCATTTAAAATAGATAAAGCAAATACCATTAGGAGCAAACATAATTGGGTCATTTATATATAGAAATATAGAAAGTAAATTAACATGTAATAAGAAGGAATGAAACCCAATATTTAATAACAGTATATTAAGAATACTTTGAAAATGTAGATCAGCACTGATTTGCAATAGAATGCATAGCCAAGGAACTTTTGGGCTTGCATATTAAGAAAGTGACATGAATATTAATTACACATTGCACATAAATAATTCAATGAAGCATGATACTAATTCACAGTATAATTTGATGTAAAACTTGGAAGTGTTGGATTCAGAGTCATCACTACTGAGTTGCAGAAGATTGTAAGATTGCATATGCATGGAATAGAAGTATAACGGTGGGATGGAAATTGAAATATTTTGCATAGGAAATCAGTGACATGTGTATAGATTACATATTTCTACATGTATAGAGAACACCACTGAATACTATTGTGAAGTACAATACCAAATCATATGTTAATTTAATCAAATGAACCGAATGAACTCTTCAATTTGAAAAATCCACATGACAATAGACAGACAAAAGGATAGAAATGATCTCTTGACTGAACTCATCTGTACAAATAAGTAAATATTTATTTAGCTATGGAAACCTTATCAATTACAATCAATATTTTGATATGATGTGTTTCATAAGTTCATCTTTGAATTTTTTATACGAATATGTCTTGAAAATAGCGGGTATTTCATTCCAAATTTTGGGGCCAGCAATTTTTATCAAATTTTGGGTAAATTTGAAATTGGTTCAAGAAATGAAGAATGCTCCTTTAGATGCCGAACGAGTGTTAAATGGATGGACAACATACTTTTTCATGGTAGAATT